CTGTCAAAAAGACAGCTATCAAAAAGATCCGGATGGTGATAGTTAGTTTAAAGACAGGCCTACAAAGTTATCATAGTGACCTTCTAAAACTATCCTTTGCTGCCGTTCAGAAATGACAGTCCGAAGATTGAGAATTTTGGCCGATCATTGGTATTGTCGGACACCACGCTTTGAGAGCTTATAACTTTCTATGCACTCTTGCTAGAGCTACAAGTTTTGTCACGCAAATAAAGGATAACTATTGCTATAATACTTTGCAGTTTCATGAGATGGCAATGTATAGTTTTCCTAAAACAAGTGTCCGAAAATTGATGGTGTACGATCATTGATAATGTACTCTATACAACAGACTTAATGTTAATTTTATTCCTGTACTTTATTATATAGACTTCAGGTGTGTATCTTTCAAACTACACTGATCTACTTATGAATGAGCCTGTGTATGAAAACTTGACAGCACTAGGGTTGTCAGGAGTTGCATTTGATGGAGTGTGGGCTATAGCTGTGGCACTAGATATAGCATCAAAGAAGATACTATTGCGTAATGAAACTGGATGTGAGAATGTACCAGGAGATTTAGTACCATTGGAACAATTTAACTATACTAACATGAAACTAGGCTGTATTCTTAGACAAAGCTTTAGTGAAGTTAATTTCCTTGGAGTAACTGTAAGATTATACTTAATCAATGAAGCATCAATAAACTTATTAGGGTCAGATACGATTCAATAGATTTGGTAGTAGAAATGACAATGTGATATTATATCAACAATACAGAGTAATAAGTAAGCAGTGCTTTGTGTTGTTTATTATTATTATTATACTACCACAAAGATGGAATACTGACTAAAGTATCAATTGGTGCTGTAACAGTTGAACTTCACAGAAACACTTTTGTTTTTGAAACAGGAGAATCAGACAGCACCCTTTGGAATAGTGCGTTGTTTTACTTTAATTTTATGGTTGTAAATATAATTTTATTTAGGTGGGGAGCCACCATATGATGGATTTCCAGTAGCTAATATTGATAAAAATAATGTTGTATTAGTTGTTATTTATGATGTGGCAGCTACTGGTGGCCTTGTTTTTGCATGTGTTTGTTTCACTTTCAATTTTGTGTTTAGAAGAAGAAAGTAAGTAGTACTTTAATACTTGATTGATAAGTCAGTTTTGTTATTAGGATTGTTAAACTAACAAGTTGTAACCTAAATAATATAATCATACTGGGATCTGCATTGCTATATACAAGCATTTC